GCTGACAACTGTTTACAGTGTAAATTAAGTTAACATTAATGGAGTTTTTATATAAAAGATTTGTTCAAATTAAGTCAGACGTGCGAAGGTTAATTTAGTCGACTTCTTTCGCTCGATGGCTTTCGATCGCCGTCGGTGTCTAACAAGAATTTCTGAATCGTTAATATATCTGTTAATGCCTCCTTTATCCGTTGCTTGCCGCAGGCGTTTCGTTACCAGTCAGATTTTCATTCTGTTCTCTTGTGATCCATACTTCCAGCCAGAGACGACCGATTTCCTCTCGGAAGCTACGAATGAGGTCATAATTCAGTTATCTCCTTCGGATGTCCTGCCCCTCTCCGCTCATCGGAAATTCTTGTTCATCAAACTGTCGACTTTTATTGGCGATTTGAGTAACCACTTTCTCTGAATACGCAAATTTGCTTTTCGTTCCACTTCATTTTTAGGCTTTTCACAGACTTTTTTCGTTGGGCTAGAGTCATTGCGTCATAGAAGAACGTGCGAGTAATAATCATATGTCTAATTACTCGATCTTTATCGTATTATTTTCATGCCACTATCGACAGCCAGCGTGATTTGTCGAAATAACGTTCACAGAATACTATGATGAGGTCATAATCTTCAGGCTCTTATATAAACAGAAAGTTTCTTGCTTATGATATCCGCTGTATCCTCAGTTTTACAACACTTCTAGTATAAGGCATCGGTTATTTAATCGCAGAAATAAATGCTTCTATCTGAAAGCAGATTTGCCTGAACCTTGTTTCTACAGGTTGAATGCTCGCCTGCAAGCTGATTTCAGCTGTATTTCGGCTCCCACACGAGAAGCTCACAGATTCGAGTAAATGGTGTGTGCTGAACTATTTTGTCTAACAGAGCCAACTTTCTTTTTTGCGTTTTGACTTCTACCGATGTCACCTGTGCTCGGAAGAGAAGAGAGTCACTACTTACGTAGTGCTGCCATTTAACCCTCTTTATGCGTCGCGATCAACATTGCTGTCTGCAGTTCAACCGTCGTTCTTGCTCCTTGGTTGCAACAGCTGCCTCCTTACCGTACAACAATACCGACTTCACCGAGGCAAGGTACAGCCGATCGATTTCCTTAGTCAAATGATTTGACAGAGCACCATAATCACTGAAGACGATAGCGGTTATCTGATTCTAGTTGGATAATGCTGTCATTGGGGGTATTAGAACCATGAAACCTGTACTGGTTAACATCCTTTGCCGTTTCAGCTCTCTGCTCCTTTTGCAGATTTATTGTACTAGGTGCGTTCTTCCTACCATTTTACTTCTGGGTATGGAGAAAGAGGACCTGTTACGTGACAGTGTTCTCTGCAGAAGCAGATAGAGGGCGAAGTTCGCTGGCAATCGTTCCCATCAGGGCAATATTTTTACTCACCCCAGATTAGCAAGACATATGGGGATATTTTAACTGCGAGTGTCTTCGAAAATGAGACCTGACTTTGCCAGTGTCAGCACCATTTCGGAACAGAAAGACAAGAACAATGTTGAATTACAGAAGCGAATTCTCACCCCTCAACGAACTGCACAGTTAATAATGAAGTATTCGAATATTTCACTTTTTGCAATTGCTTCTAATAACAGACTTGGTTCCAGCCTACATCTCTCTAAAACGGTAATTTTGTGTTTATGTACGTATGAAACGCTTGCTGATAAATGCCCCCCCCCCCAAACTCCATCTGGTTAGTTTCTCTCTGTACTGTCCAACCACGAAGTTTTCGACCTGCCTCTTAGCCTTTTCCACCATGGGTTCAGCACCCAACGACTCATGATGTTGATCAACCTCTTGTAGCTATGTCGTAGTACATGGCCGAAGAACAAGGTTTTTGAACTTTTTATTTTGTCAGGGGAAATCTGATACTATTGCCAGTTCAATGTACTCTATATGTTCTTGTTGCACCGTCCTCATTCCATCCTCGGCATTAGTGATAAGTTACTTCGTAGCCCGGTATTCTGCGCCAACAAGAGTTCATTAGTTTGTTTCTTGATACGGGTCGATGTTCCTGAGGCAAAGGTTTCAGTGTCAGCCCGCCATTGGCGCTGGCTGTTTCTGCGACCATCAACGCCTTCTGTAGTTCCTTCGGTGTCGTTCAATGACCACGATGTGGTTAGAATAATCCAGATCCCTTAACCAGTATCCTAATGGATTGAGTATCACTTCACTATTAAAGTTTGTAACTGCTTCCGCCATCATGGCGTCTGTACGGTAATTGATCAGCATCGGTCCGGTACTCATACTCGACCCTTGCCACACTCCCTTATTATGTGGAAATTAGTCCAGTTCCGCCTTTGCCTTGGTGTAAATGCTTTTAAAATGGTAACAACTTCTTATAGAACACGATCTTTTCTTAGCAGTTGGTACAGTGTTTCATGAAAGCTGATTCAAAGTCGGCAAACCCAATGAACGGCGGTTATTGTTTTCGACTGTGCGTTTCCAACAAAGGGCGAAATGTCAGGGTACGACTGAAAGCTGCTTAGTTCTTGTCTGGTAGTATTCTGTTTGTAAGATCGACGATAATTTTTTCAGTAATCTTCTGGACCTCGCAGATGAGACTAATGCTGCTGTATTTCCGGACATCAGACACAGCACCTTTTTTGTGTAATGGGATAATCACTGCACAATCGTCGCTTTTCCCATATTGTCTGTGTTCAACGGCATGATGTTCGACGACACCTGCAGTTCAGTCTTAGGCATATATGTGTCTCAACAGCTGTACGTGGACTTCCATCTCGGCCAACTGCTCTGTATCTCTTCTTTTTGAGAGCATTTAAAATCACTTTGCGGAATGGTTCATAAACAATGCAGTCATAATAAGACGACATATTACTTGCTGAAACGAATGAGTTGGAGCAGCTGGCTGGTACTGTTCATCCGTTGGTGGAAATATTCTCGAAATCGTTTGCCACATTTACGTTCTATATACATGGGTGATTCTTTTTTCGAACTAACGAAAGACGGGCTGGAATTATTTCTTTCGCTGTTTTGTTGGATTAAAACAAACGCTCGTCTAAGAATATTGTATTTGAACGCTTCTTTCACAACAACAGCTCGTTTTAGCTACAGTGCATTTCTTTCT